TCAAGTTATGCCCGGACAAGAAAAGTAACAAAGGGCAATAACTCTGTAATTACTTTTAGATAGAGTTATGTTTCTTATGCACTGCCAACTTCCTCTTAATGTGCTTGACCATTGTATGTAGTTATATTGAATTTCCAACCATTAGTCTTCAAGTTATGCTCCGGACAAGGAAAATGCAACAGACAAAAAAAAAAAGCAATGGAAAAGCAACAAAGGGCAATAACTCTGTAATTACTTTAGATAGAGTTATGGGTTCTTTGTGCACTGCAACTTCCCCTTATTGTGTTTTGACAATTGTATGAAGTATGTTTTGAATTCCAACCAGTAGTTTTTCAAGTTATGCCCCGGACAAGGAAAAGTAACAAAGGGCAATAACTCTGTAATTAGTCAAGATAGAGTTAGGTTCTTGTGCACTGCACTTCTCTCAATGTGCTTGACCATTGTATGTAGTTATATTGAATTCCAACCATTAGTTTTCAAGTTATGCTCCGGAGTCAAGGAAAATGGCAAAAGGACGTCTGGACCCACCGACCGACCCCCCGGGGGGACTCCCCTAAAAACCCCCCCCCAAACTTTGTTTTTGGGGGGATATAAGTACTGGCTGAAAGGAAAAATGCAAATCATGAACAAATGGCCAAATGTGCTAGGGGAAAACTTGGTCGTAGTGGTTCATGGTATTTTATTTGCCTCAAAAGGCAAAAAAGAGGCCCGAGGCCCCCCAAACCCCCCCCCCAACTTCAGGGGAATTAGTTTACAGGGATTTCCAAACTTGGAGAACCAAAAAAAGAAATTTTATGCAAACTCTAACTCTACTCATTGGGTTTTTTAAAAAAAAATTTTTTTTAAAAGGGTTTTTTCAAAAAATATAGTTAAAAAAAGAAAACCCCTGGACCGGGGGAGTTTTGACCCAAGGGCTTTTTTATTTGAACAAACTTTGTAGACACGTACTAGAAGATGTTTCATGCTTAATATCTAAATTCTAGCTATTTGGGTTTTTTCAAAGAAGATTTTAAGTTTTGCTATACACATAAAAGAAAATCAAATGACCCCCGGAGGCCAGGGCCAATTTTGACCCAGGTCTTTTATTTGAACAAACTTTGTAGACACTCACTAAAAGATGTTTCATGCTTAATATCTTAACTCTAGCTATTTAGGTTTTTCCAAAGATGATTTTTTAAGTTTTTGCTATACACATATAAGGAAAATCAATGACCCCTGGGGCGGTGCCAACTGTGACCCCAGGGCTTTTATTTGAACACACTTGGTAGACACCTATTAGAACATGTTTGATGCTAAATATCTTAGCCATAGCTCTTTGAGTTCTTTAAAAGAAGATTTTTCAAGTTTTTACTATATGCATATAGGGAAAATCAATGACCCCCCTGGGGCGGGGCCAATTTTGACCCCAGGGCTTTTATTTAAACAAACTTGGTAGACACTTATTAGAACATGTTTCATGCTAAATATCTTAGCTCTAACTCTTTTGGTTCTTTAAAAGAAGATTTTTTAAGTTTTTACTATATGCATATAGGGAAAATCAATGACCCCCTGGGGCGGGGCAATTTTGACCCCAGGGCTTTTTTATTTGAACAAACTTGGTAGACACCTATTAGAACATGTTTCATGCTAAATATCTTAGCTCTAACTCTTTTGGTTCTTTAAAAGAAGATTTTTTAAAAGTTTTTACTATATGCATATAGGGAAATCAATGACCCCCTGGGGCGGGGCCAATTTTGACCCCAGGGCTTTTATTTGAACAAACTTGGTAGACACCCATTAGAACATGTTTCATGCTAAATATCTTAGCTCTAGCTCTTTGGGTTCTTTAAAAGAAGTTTTTTTAAGTTTTTACTATTATGCATATAGGGAAAAAATCAATGTCCCCCGGGCGGGGCCAATTTGACCCCAGGGCTTTTATTTGAACAAACATGGTAAACACTCACTAGAAGATGTTTCATGCCAAATATCTAAGCTCTAGCTCTTAGGGTTTTTTAAAAGAAGATATTTAAAGTTTTTTCTATCGATTGCCATGGCAACCAGAGTTCTGCATGGAATTAAATTCTTTGAACAATTTTTAAAGGTGACCACCAAAGGAACATTCCTGTGAAGTTTGGATGAAATTGGCTTAGTGGTTTATGAGGAGATGTCATTTAAAGTAAAAGTATACGGACGGACGCCGGACGGACGCCGGACGAAAAGCGATCACAAAAGCTCACCCTGTCACTTTGTGACAGGTGAGCTAAAAAATCATTTGCCTCAGAAAGGCAAAAAAATCAATCATTAACTTTTGCTTATTCTTAGTAATACAGTTTCAGTTGGGTTTTATGTCACATTATTACCTGATACCTTATATAAATGTAATTTTGTATTTTTTACTGTTTTCTGAAATTCTAAAAACGTCAACGTTCGCGAACTGTTGACCAGTCAATAGTTTCGACTGTTTCCCTCGCGTGTTCTGACGTCTTTGACGTCATAGAGGATTCCCACTTGAAGCGTCCATCGATCTTGATCACGAACCAGATGTGACGTGCCATAGTTAAAGTATTAAGTTTAATTATGAACATATGTGCAAAACTATTTTCTTGTTCCTTTTTTCTTTTGCAAGTACTGTTAAACAGTAATTGATCAGGTAATAAAATAGTTATTTCAAATGTGATTTGGGAACAGTCAAACAGTTGTCCCTCGGTGTCGGGGATAGTGTTTTGAACTGTTGCCCAAGGCCGTACAGTTCAAAACACTTCCCCCTCCACCTCGGGCCAACAGTTTGACTGTTCCCAAATTACATCTGAAATAACTGTATACTGTTACTGAAAACCAAAACACACAACTATACATTATTTCAGGCAAGTGTGGACACTACATATTCTCAGAAGAACAACTGATCTTCTGTAACTTTTATTGATAACTTCCTTGAATGAAGATTTTACATAGATATTTGGTGCATTTTCTTAAGCTATTTCATAGTTTTACACAGCTGGATTTTGATACAATGTCAACAACCATAACCACTCAGATCAACAGTACAAATGACCAGCACGCAAAATCTTTGAGGCAACAAGGAAGTATAAAGCTTTGAGTAGAGTATGAATTTCTCTTATTTTCAAAGGAAATATTTAAAGCTACATTAAGCTGCCTCTTACTAGAAGAATTTATAGTATCTTGATAAAAATCATACTAAAGCACCTAACTTGTCAATTTCCAATAAAATATGGGGTGTATATGCTAAAAGATTGCTCAACTAACTTAAATAGCACTGGAATATTTTATAGAGGAACATTAAATTTTTATTTTTGTTTTTACATATAATTCATGAGCATTTTATATTAGAGATAATCTTTGCTATAACTTTTCCTAGTTAAAGCCACCAAAATATAAAATCTATGTCATTGTATGCAATAATAAAGTTTTTGACATTTACATAGAATAATGTTTCAACACCAAGTACACAAATGATCTTAAAATACTTACAAACTTAGAACAGCTTGCATTGACATAAACAATGCCGGAACATTAAATGTTTCAAAAAATATTTCTGCAGCCTTTTCTCGATTCTTTCTAGGATTTAAAGGGGCTTCTGTCAATAATACAGGATGCTGGAAAACAAATTATTTTTGTATTAAGCTCACTTACAGTAATGGCTAAGAATAACAAAGACATAAGGAAACAGTTTACGAACAACTTAAATTAATTTTTTAACTAGAAATATAAGACTTTTTTAAAATCAATTTTTTAACTAAAAATATAAGACTTTATAAACATTTTATCGTTAACAATAGAATTTTTAATGACTCATTACCCAAAAAATCAAAACAGTTAAACTTCCCCAATATATAATTTGATGGCCTGCATCCCAAGTGTTACTATTGTAAACAAATGATCTACTAATCTTTCTAACTTCTAACATTGTACAGTTTAAAAATTTGTTGATGATTTCAAGACTTTTATTTGAAAAAGTAGAAAGATCTAGATAAATGCTTATCATAATAAAGGCACGTTTTTCCTAAGATACTCATATTTCTTTCGATTCCTTAAAATGACAAACATGTGTTTAATAATATTTAAACAAGAACTGTCGAAGGACAGTAACGCTTGACTATTCGCAAAGTTGTCACAAGTGTGTTTCATTGAGTATAATAATGCTTACCTATATGAATACATAAAATTGTCCGAAAAGGTACAAAGGCTTGTTATTTAAGATGTTTTATCGAGTTAATCACTGCTTTATTATTATGAATGCATAAAATTGTTCATATAAAGGCACAAACCCTTCAGTAGAATTTCTAAGCCGAAAAAGGTGCATAATTATGGAGAGAAAAAAACAAATCAGAGTTATGGGACTTAAGCCAATCATGTTAGATAATCACAGAGAACAAGTGTGTGAAATTTCAATCCATTCCCTTCAGTAGTTATGGAGATACAAGCTTGCACACAAAAACTTTTAACCAAGAATTTCTAAGTCGAAAAAGGGGCATAATTATGCAAAAAAACCAAATCAGAGTGATGGGACTTATGCCAATCATGTAAGATAATCACAGAGAACAAGTGTGTGAAGTTTCAATCTATTCCCTTCAGTAGTTATGGAGATACCAGCTTGCACGCAAAAACTTTACCAAGAATTTCTAAGTCGAAAAAGGGGCATATTTATGCAAAAAAGCAAATCAGAGTTATGGGACTTAGGCCAATCATGTTAGATAATCACAGAGAACAAGTGTGTGAAGTTTCAATCCATTCCCTTCAGTAGTTATTGAGATACCAGCTTACACGCAAAAACTTAACCACAGGGACGTCGACGCCGACAAATGTCCAACTGCATTAGCTTGATTATTCTGCGAATAGTCGAGCTAAAAATGAATTACGAGCATGTAAGACGTTTTATACTTGAGAAAAATAGTGCTGAACATGCAGTTAAATTTTGTGAAGGTAGGAAAATGTAAACAAAGTAGTATTTTGACTTCCTTACAAAATATTAATTCACTATAATTATACCAATTGCCAAAAGAGTTCAAGATACAAAAGATAGTTCACTTTGAGGTATATAGCAAATGAGTATGTTTTTAGAAACTCTAACAAAATACTAAAAAGTAAACACTTTTTTGTGAAAAAAAAATGATAGCATTTCTGAAACATAATGGGCCTATAAGAAACATCAGAACATGTCTTTAGGGAAATTAGGTTCATAGGAAAGTTAAGCATGTTAAGTCAAAAGAAGAATACAGAATAAGAATTGTACCTCTTCTGAAAATGTTTGTAATTGATCTTTTGAGTAAATATATTGCCAGATCCTCTCCATATCATTCCAATCTTTTACTATACCATGTTCCATAGGGTAACGTATAGACAACAACCCTCTATGCTCCTGTTGAAATATAGTAAAAACATGTTCCATAGGGTAACATCCTGAAAGTAACTAACTATGCCCCTGTTAATATATAGTAAAAACGTGTTCCAAAGGGTTACATCCTGAAAGTAACTATCTATGGTTTTGTTAATATATAGTAAAAACATATTCCATACTTGAATGGTTTGCTCATAATAACTGACAGGAGGAAAAGAAAATACCTGAATGTTAACTTGTTTTGTTTGCTTATCTGGTTTTATGCCAAATTAACGCCTTTTTTGGTTGTATCTCTGCAGTTAGTGCACCTAATCTGCTTTCTTGGATAATTTTTCAGTAATGAACAATTTCTCTGCAAGTGACAGACTCTAATCACACATGACTTCTAAATCAGAGGAGAGACAAATGACCATAGGACTCAATGTCTGAGATCAGTAGTCATGGAGTAATTACACAATGCCTTAGGATCACAAATATGCGACCAGATTTGTGTTAAAACTTGTGTAAAAATCAGATAAACATACAAAAACATTCAGATATTTTATATTTCAACAACCCTCACTTCTCTCTAGAATATTTCATCTTTTATTGTAGAACATCTATATTTTTGTCTACAAATCACAAAATACATATACCACACATAGTTACTTTAAATTTTATTAATAACATAAAACCCAGCATGATTATTTTATAGCTTTATGCAAGGACAAAGTAATTGTTTTTGAATATCCTTAAATCTTTTGTAAACATTACAGTCATTTACCTCTGCCTCTGGTCCCAGAAACATATCTCCCTCAAGTGCCCCTGCCATAACTCGTACATGTTTAGGCCTTCCTATGCTGTAAAACACAATTATATATTGAATACAATTATTATAATATTTCACATAATAATTGTTTTTTAAATTCTTATAGTAATAAAAAAAAATTTATAGTAAAAATAAAACAGTTCTTCAAAATATTTATAAACAATTCCATTTCAGATTCAATATATGAAATAGAAAACAAGAAGAATCTTTTAAAACGATACTCGGCTGAAGTATAACTGTTTAACATGAAAAAGTATGGCTTCATCAAAAAGAAATGTTAAAAATGACATGATAATTATTTCTTGTAGCTATTAAGAAACTACCCATTTTGTAAACATTGAAATTAAATCATACGAGCATATTGATATTGGTGATTTTTCAAAGAAGAAGAACTTCTATTTAAGATGTCTTTTTTACTTGTTTTCCATTTGACTTTATAAATTTTGTCATCATTTTGAAAATGACCTTAAAGTTCAAGAACTAGTCTCATTCCTGTACATTTTATTTTAGGACTATCCTTTACATTTTATTTTATAGTAACAAAACTATCTCTTACATATTAACATAGAGCTATCCTTTTCTTTTTTTTAGAATGGTTTACATTTTTTTTTATTATAATTGTTAGAACTGTCCTCTACATGACAAAATTGAAATACCCTTGTATATTAAAACTTATGCACGAAGAAAAGTAGTGTTTAAGTTTGATACTTAAAAACAAGATGTTTTGAAATAATTATCATTATTTTGCTGTGTATCCTAAATACCAGACCTGGGTATCTGTATATCATAGTCTAGGAATGTCTGCCTCTACAAAGAAAATTTTGAGTTGTTTCACACTGCAAAATTTTACCCCTTACATTTGTCAGAGTGCATTTTTTACCCTTTACTTGAGTTTGAAGGGTAAAAATCCCTTGGCCTAAAAAAATATCTAGAGCTCTGTTTCTGTATTTAAAGTTTTACAAAATACAAGCGGGAGAAGTTTCTTGCAGTCATTGAAGTGAAATTTTCAAATTGTCATATTATTTATTAATGTGAATGAAGCAGAGTGCATACTTAAATGTAACTTTCAGAATGATATTCTAGAAATGAGTATAATTTTATTATAACTATTATACCTTCATGCTTATTTTGAGCAATTGTATGGAGAAAATAAATATTGGTTAAAAGTTTGTGCAAGCAATTAATGATGAATTGTTTTTTTTGTTTTTTGTTTTTTTTTTCAAATCAAAAAAACATTAATGATTTAATACTTACAAATTTGGAAAGTGGTACTTTGGAACTTGATCTCCAGCAAAACCAGCTTTGATTATACCAGACCCCTGTAAATACATAATAACAGTTAATCAAATACAGTGGTTTCAAGGGGGAAAAAAAGAGTTAAAAAACAAGCACTACCATGCCACCATAGTCACTGATAGTTGATTCTGAAAATTGACTCTATGGAATCTAAGTATGTCTGGTGTCAGAATTGGTGCATGAAAGGGCTCTTTCAAAGCCAAAAAGTATTTAAAAAAAATTTAACAATTGTTCCAGTAAAAAAAATTACATTTGTTAAAATTAAAAGAAACACAGAAGTTTAACTAGGAGAGTTAGTTTTAAAAGTAAAATACAGTGTTCAATCTAGAGCGCGCCATTGACCCCCTGAAAAGACCGCCGGCGCAAAACAAATTCAACTGTGGGCCTGATGGGCGCACTCATAGAAAATGCCCTAAATGACATAAGAATGCTTTCTTTTAAACCTGATTAGATACATAAAAAAAGTTTCTTGTGAATAGTATTAATAAATACTGATTTAAAAACTGAAGTTTGTATAGAAAAACAAGAGCATGTTGGTAAGACAGTAACCCTTTTAAAACCTTGATCGCTACGCTCTCTCGGCCGGGGGTATGTAAATACAATGTAGACTTGTTCTTTGTACCGTAACTATTACTTACTTTTGAGTCACAGTTTTTATAAATAAAAATCGTCACAGATAATCCAATACGTGCGTGTGGGAACTCCGTGCGTGTAGTTATAGTTTTTTCATGGTCAAAACAAATAAATATGTCATAACTTTCCGGAGGAAAATAAAACTATATATTTGTGAAAAGTGTGAGTTAATTATAGAGAAGTATGTATAAATTATTACGAACACGCCTTCATCCAATTAAAAAAGTCTTGAAGATGGAGCTAATCAAACACGATTGGCTAGGGAGTGTCTGACAATTGAGTAAATAAACTTTGATTGGTCTTTGGCTGGTCGGCGCTAAAGCATTGTGCATATCATTAATCAATACAGACATCTTAAGCGTGACGTAAGAACTACTGCCCTGACAAAAGATCAAAGGTACCGGTATGTCAATATACATTGTCTTAGCACCTGTTGACACTTTGTTTTTTGCTTGGATATATTGAGAAGGGTAAATGTTTTAGCGACTATTGTAAGTTTATATTCTTCATTGGGAAATACAATTTTCTTTTATATATCGGGCCCTGATTAAAAAACTGAACATTATTATAAATCAAATATGCCAGGTAACATTAAATTAAGATTCATATGTTTCTTTGCACATTATGTCATCTTTTCTTTACCAATCAGTTCTTAAAATTGAGCCTGTATCAACGCTAACAGAACTCTCAAAAAAGGTCAAAATAATGTCATTTTTTTAGTGAGTTGATTGTTTTGGAATTTTGCAACCGTATTTGGTCTATATATGGTACATGAACAAGTAACTTAAAAGATACAATACCTTATTTGAATTTGATGTTCTTTTAAGTGTGGGCCCCCTTTTTTCTCAAATGACCCCCTTTTGAAAAGTTTATGGGCCCAAAGGGCCCCCTGGGAATTTGTTCTAGATTGAACACTGAAAATATTTATCATGAATCAAGGCATTTTCCAACACATGAAAAAATTTGTTTGAAATATAATTGTTTTCCAAATATTTTGAAATAAACAACTTTTTATTTTCATGACCACTACTATTAATAGCAAGGTATGGATGAAATAAGTTGAGACAACTTTTCAAAGTCAAATAGCTTTGGGTGGTTATAAAGAAGTGTTTTATCTAATTACATTTATTCTGATTATGACTATTTACTCATGAACAAGTTTCTTATCTTAAGAATCTATATCTTAATAGTCGGCTCGAAGAGCTGGCCCAAAGGGCCTGCTTGCAAAGCGAGCTTTACTGTAACGCGAGTACCTGTTAGATAGTGATTGTTTTGAAAATCTGCGTCGGAAGTACTGCATTGACACATTGCAACTTTTCGAATTACAAGATAATGATAGAAGCCGAGGAATTCTGATTGAGTCCTGCGCACTCTTACAGGAACCATAATACGACAGGCATTGCCATAGTCATATGATCATTTCATTTGCTGACCGGGCCCATAATCCCTAGGGTGTTGTCATACCTTTTTAACAAATTATTTTGAATAATGATCTCTTAAGCAATATCCATGCATACAGTTCTTCCAAACATAAATGCAGTAAATCAAGGTATCATTTTGAAACATAAAAGCCAAATTATATCAATTTACTTATTATTTTTGCGTATGACAGCTGCGGCTGCAGACAAAAATCAAAGAAAACCGATCATGACTCATTCGTCAAATAAAAGACAATATCTCTCAAAATAGCATAACAATATAAAGTTAATCGATTCTTACATTGTCTATGACAACAGGCTGATTTGCAAGTATGTCATATGAATCCATCGAATTCGCTAAAATGCTAAGAAATCATAAATTTTGTCTAAATTGTCTTAACCGGAAGTTACTTTTTAACCGGAAGTAGCATTGATAATTTCTTTGATAAAATCTGTTCCTAAAATATGAGACCGTTATATAATTATAGGATTAGTTAGAGAAAATCAATTTATGCACGTACCTTGTTTTACACCTTTATGATGCTGGCATAAGGGAAAATTAATAATCAATAAGTAGAATTATAAAATATGCAACATACATTTTCATTGTTTTTCAATGGATGACTCGTTCACGGACTTTCATTATATTTATTTTAGTATATATCGATAGATCCTGTTTCTAAATGAGAATTATATCAAACAATATACTCTGTACTGCACTTTTTTCTGGTACAACAATAAATTTAACAGTGTTACCAATGTGGTAAGGGAAGTTTCACAACAAGCACACACTAGTAAAATTAAATTATCTATTTTAACCCTTTACTTCATATCTATAGATGTGTTTTGACAGCTTTTCGCCCCCCCCCCCTTTATTGGAGGCCTCGAACAGTGAAAAAATGCCACAAACACAGTTTTTCGTTTGAGAAATGTTGATAAAAAAGTGATCACTTTTTCGGCGCCACCCGTTAACAAAAAGGTACATCAAGGGGTTGCCAGAAGGGGGATGTGCCCCCTTTTTAGCCAAGAAAATTTTGGACAAGCAACAGGCTAAAAATAGCCTCAGGTCGGTCGTAATATAACTTTTGATAAACGCTGAAAAGCCTTTTACTCTATCTCAATCCATTGAGAAGTGGCAGCACTTTGAAATCAGTTTTTATGGGAAAAAAAACAATGCAAAATAGTGTTTTTTTGGCAATTTTGAGACATCCTCCCGTTGCCATGGTAACAGGAAATTTAAGATTGAGCATACTGTGACAGAGGCTATGGTTCAGTCAACATACATTGTATGTGCCAAGTTTTATCAGTATTGAAGCATTTTTCATAGTTTCATAGCAGTTTAAACCTGTAACAGGAGGGTTTTCATTTTTTACAATATGCTCATGAAGTAAAGGGTTAAGTTTGATGTTTCTGGACTTTCAGTACAAAAACAAGATATTTGCTATATCTGCACAATCAATTCATGAAATAACTTCATTACATACATTTGAGCAGTTTTTTACTGAAAATAAATTCATAAAAGGAGATTATTTAAAATATAGTTATGGATCTCTTAATTGCAATGCACCCATTTCACTGTTATATATAAATTAAGTGTTTAAGTTTCACTGGAATATATTTTATTATATTGGAGTTAAAAAATCTCCGGACAAGGAAAATATAAACCATGTTAAGAATTTAACTCAAAGTGTGACCTTGGTGTTTATGGTATGAATGTGTTGTTGTGTTCGAAAATTGTGTTAATATGGTGCAAGCCTTTTCAAAATCTTTGATAAATGGAAAAGTTGTGGACCGGACACAATACAGTCCCCATAACAGACCATGTGAAGCTTTGGCCTCTAATTAAGTGTGGGCATGTTCTTACATGGTAAAGGTTTGGGTGGTGCGCATGAATAGTCTTCGCATTATGATGAACATTTGTGCCAAGTTATTTGTTAAGATCCCTGAATTGATGTAAAAGTAATTAACTGCAGACATGACATTTACCCGTCATCAGACAGTATTGACCTTTAATCTCCAAGTTTGATCTTGACCTTTGAGGTGGGCTTTTGAGTGTTGCGCACGACACGTTGTCTTATTATGGTGGACATGTGTGCCAAGTTATTTCATAATCCTTGATGGATGGCTGTGGTATGGACCCGACAAGACTTGTGAAACACGGACAGACAGGGGGCAGACGTCAGACGGTCATTTCTATATCGCCCTTTTAAAAAAAAAAAAAGGGGCAACAAGAAATATTTCAATTGACTCACTTAATTGACTATTATTAATAGACATTGACGCACCTCCAAAAAAATGTATTGTATCCATGTTAGAGCGGATGTTCAAGATATCTGGTTTGACTTAAAATGGAAAATTATTTTGAAATGTTACTAGTCTTCCCGTATTTTGCGCGTTTCTGTTAGGCGCCCTAGACCGGGCGCATTTCCGTTAGTCTTTTAAAGTGGCTGAACGTCCACATACGCAGCTCTTCCTTGATCTTTGTATTTTATATTTTGTTCACACAATTTCACAACAAAGTTGCAATGGAACCATTGATTTGACTGTTAGTAAAAAATAAAAGTCGAAAAATCAATCTAAAAGTATAAGAAGCTGATTAATTCACGTACATAGCGTAATATGAGAAAATACACATGTGAGAGAATAATTATAATGGCTAATGCATGTCTGATTAAAAGAGATGTATTTTAAATGTAAAATAACTAATTATTTCGAGTAAACCGTGACTTTTGTGAGCTGTATGGTCGCTTATTTTTAGGTTTATTTCATAATGTTTTTTTGTGTGTCTTTTTTTTTTATAATTAAAGCATGATAAAAATCGTTAATATGATATATGTTATACATCTATGTTTGTAAAATGCTAATTTTGAAATCTTGCGGAGATATAATGAAAATAAAATCGAATTATGGTTTCTGTATCAACTAGAATTTTGCAGAAAACGCTTTAGAACATTTCTGTGTTAAACATTTTTAGCATCTCTCTATCTGGTCACAGTAATGTTCGGCAACTGTTAAAAAGTTGCACACTACTATATATGTATACATGAAGTATTTTTGTACACTACAGAGCTATATTTCTGTAATAATAGTATCTGTGTTTAATAAAAAAAAATAATTATCGATAGTTTGGCAGACGTATATTTTCTATTTTTGGATCTATGTATTCATTATTTTTTTGTTCATGTTTCTCCGTATCTTCCTCTTTTCTGTATGTTATCTTTCTTTTTATTGTTTGGTGTCGCCTTTTTTTGCGCATTTTTGTATTCATGAGCTCTTTATGATCTGGGGAATGTTTCGATGGTTTTCAATACATTTAAATCTTAAAGCTTAATATGCTGCATTGTTCTTAGGCCTTGCCAACTTATTAAGATTATCTTGTCTTATCTTACCTTAAAAACTTACCTAATTACTCCAGGTAATCAAGGTTACTAACGCGAAACCTGTAAAAAGCTTAACATTTTTTCCTTTGCAATAATTCTTTATTTTACACAAACAAACAATGCATATATCATACAAGATATACACTTTAAATAATATTATTAATATTAATACTGATCAATAAACCAAAATCGAATAAAATTGAGTGCCTGACATATAATACGGGTAACACAGAGTTTAACCAAGACAAAAATTTCAAGCGTCCCCAGCAACGATCTTTATCGTAATATTATTTAGCTGCAAGTCAATTATTTTCTTGTTCAAAAGAATGTTTTCTTAACTAATCAAGATTTTCAAGCAATATTCTTAAATGGTGAGTCAAAATATTGGTTTGATTTCTCAATTTACACCACACAAACAACGTATTATGTATATAGATGTACATTTAATTATCAATGTTACCTGGACGCTTATTGATTTTGTGTCTCTGCCTCTGGTCAAACTAAATTTTAAGTTCCTGCCATCATCATAAAGGCAATATGTCTGATAATAATGTTCCCAAACTACACAGCATGGAAAAATAAGACACATTTTATTGAGAACATGTACATGTCATATTCATGATATTGTAAAGCTAAAAATCATCAGTTAGGCAACAACCAGGATTTAAACCTTGAACCTTTGAGTACAAGGCCGACACTCAACCACGCCGCTAAAGAAATATTTGTTATCAATACAGTCATAACATTTTAAATTTAATGAAATTATCCCATTAACAGTTGTCAAGCAGTGAATTATAAAAGTTGCAATTCTTTGTACTGAAGCCCAAAATCTACTTAGATGTGGGTAAAACATGTACAAGTCAACTCGGCCCCAAGTCAGCCCGGCTCCAGATTGGTCAACCCGGCCCCAAACCAATGTTATTTCTGGTCAACCCGGCCCAATTTTTTTTATTATTTATTTTGCTTTAAAATGTAAACACTTAATTATCAAGAAATAAAATAAAAATTAACAACAAAAACAAAAGTTCAATGATGATATTTTTTATTATTTATTTTATATAAAAACTATCAATATTAACAAACAATTTCTTCCACCAGCTGACTATCTTGAAGACCACGTCGAATGGCCTGAAATGAAAGGAGCATTTGCGTAACAAAGTATAATATTTTATTATCATCTTAGTGATAACATAAATAACTATAAAATCGGCGATGGTTTGTTCCTTCTTAAACAATAAATAAGTGTGAATATTTTTAAGATTGACTTTTTAAAGTATAAAGTGACTATTCTATTTGTCCAGGCATTGAGTTTGTGTAACTTTTGCTTCCTTACATTTTTTCTAGCATTTATTCACTTATGAACTGCTAAAGTTTTTCACTTGAAATCTCACACATGTCCTTGGGGATATTATTATAGATCACTTTTAAGACCCATTACTTAAGCACAGACCTCACTGCTGTTGGTATGAATCCTGTTAGAAACTTTCAATTCTTTCGTGAAAGCAAGCTTACGAAAGGTTGGTGGTTAAACTAAAGAAGGTACACATGAGGTCTTCCTTCCAACAATATAAATCAACAATATAAATTCAAATAAACTATCATAGATTTTAGTTTGATTATTAAAATTTATTAAATTATTACCCATTGTGAATGTTGAGATTTTGCTTTAAGTTCGTTCTTCACCTGCTTGATCTTCACAGTCATTCAAGGTATTTTGTTAAAGCTTTACACCTGTCTTCATGTAGGTCACTGATAAAAAAAAGTAAAAAAAACATAACATGGCAGGTATAACCACCATGGACTAAATTGTGATAAAAATCCTTACAATATATGTTTTAAATTTTCTTTTGTTGTAATTGTTTGCAGAGATAGAGGGATGATGTCCACACCATGTTGACATGACTCTAGAATGGACTTGCTGGAGATAGAGAATCTTCTGAAGAAAGCCATAGCAAATGAAAGAGAGTTACTTAATCTGAGTAACAGAAATATGACAATTTTACCAAGTAATATACATCAGCTATGTAAAGTGAAGAAACTATTACTTAATGATAACAAGCTATTGATGCCACCTTCAGAGATCATGACCCTAGTCCAATTAGAGGAGTTAACTTTAGACAACAATAACTTCACCATGCTACCAACAGGAATATCAAAGTTGACAAATTTAAAACTTCTCAGTGTTTGTCATAATCCATTGAATATTTTGACCCCAGAAATAGGTCAGCTTACTTCATTGACACATTTGTGGCTTGTTGAATGTGAATTTATCAATATTCCAGAAGAGATTGGATGTCTCTCTAGTCTACAAACTCTGAGCTTGAAAGGGAATAGATTGACATCATTGCCGTCAACATTTGGTGATCTCAGAATGTTACGATGGTGTTGCCTAGCAAATAACATATTAGACTCCCTTCCTAAACAATTTTCAAACCTGAAGTCATTAGTTTATTTAGATTTAAATAGGAACAAATTTTCATCAATACCAGAGTGTTTAACAGACTGTGTTGAGTTGATGTCATTACATATGACGGGAAATGAGGTGATGTCTGTAAGTGATGATACACTTCTAGCTCTGGCGAAGCTCACAAAATTTGATCTACGGGATAATGCAATACAGGATAAACCTGACCATTGGAAGGTAAACAAAGGATAATTTTTTATCATTTTCAGCCGTTTTTAGCATGACTATTCAATGAATATAGAGAACTACTGTTATCACCCTGACTTTGGTGTTGGCGTCACATTCACATTTTGTTAAGGTTTTCAAAATCTACTGAATGCTTGAATACTTGAAACTTCACACACTCTTCTCTGTGATTATCTAAAATGATAGGCACAAGTCCAATAACTCTAATTTACCTTTTTACAGGGTTGTGCCCCTTTTCTTACTGTCAAGCACTGAGAATAGCCAAGCTCACTGTCTTATGGACATCTCTTTTTAACAACATCTTTCCTTGTTAAAGAAATTTTTGAACAGTCTTATAATCCCCATTTTGTATTCATATGAAATACAAGCAAATATATTTTGTTAGAACTTTAGTTATGTATTGCTTCTGCATGAATTGAATGCATACTGTTTTAGCCAAACAGTTATGAAACTTTATAATAACTGTTGTAAATGAATAAAAATTGTGTTAATTTTTGTAAATGAATTGTTTCAGGCTTAAATTATCAATTATTTTTCTTATGTTAAATTAACTTAAATGTTTTCATTTTAGAAGCATATTTCAATAGCCACCATGGATTTTAATCCAACTTCAAGACTTGGTATCTTTTTTAAACCTTAAGTTAACATTCTGACTTGATCAATTGACATTTTTTGGATTTGTCCATTATAAGTAATAAGGGTATCAAGATGAAAATTGAATGTTTGTCAGCCAACAGAGCCTAGTTTGATTGTACTGCAAAATCAGGTTTGGTTCCAGCATAGTTAAAAGGTTAGTGGTTTATAATAAGCATGGTTTAGCAGGCTCATGAGTGATGCCTGTACAGTAAATGATACATTGACGGTAATATTGGGTCTTATTCTTTCAGTAATAGCTACCACATGACCTGACATAATTATGACCCCTTACATTAACAATGGACTATTCCAAATTTGAATCAGGACAAGTTTATAATATATGCATGTATTTAACATATTCTGTGTTATAGAGACTAAATTATACATAGGTAAATTCTGTTTCAGGGTCTGGATTATATTCTGGTTGGTAAAACTGGCATAGAGGGCCTAGAAGAGGAATGCAACGGTCTTGATGTGAGGGCATTTATACGAGGATATCCCTCTGATGATGATGAGGGTGATGAAGATGACGACGATGAAGACGACGACGACAATAATGATGACGATGATGACGACAACGAGGATGATGATGAAGAGGAGGAGGTGGACAATGATGAGTCAAAAGAAATTAATTCTGAAGAAAAAAATGCTCTGAACAAGAGGGAAAGAAAAACTGACATGCACATAGAAACTGATGAAAAAGATTTAACAAAGTCTTGATAGATACAAAACAGGATAGTCTATGAAATATAAGAGTAATATATACAGGATGTCAGTGAGAAATGTGGCTCATTTTGTATGTTGTTATCAATTATGCAATCCATAATTATTTACAGAAAAGTGCTATAAATTTTACAGGGAAAATAAATGCCTTATGGTGTTTTTTTAATTTCTATATAGTTATTAGTCCCCTATCAGTTAAACCCTCTCTCTCTGTCCATCTGCAAAACCCTTAATCAACTTAGATTTCTAGCCCTGGTTGACCTTTTGGTTAAGATCTCAGAAACTATAAAGCTTTTTATTTCAAACTTGATATACATGTTTACTATCTTTTAAGGTTGTTGACTTCAAACCACTTGCCCCTCACTGCTGTGGGTTCGAATCCACGACAGGGCCTTTGGATTCTTTCATGTGAAGAATTTATCCAGCTAGCTTACGGAACGTCTGTGGTTCTACTCAGGTACCTGCTCGTGCCTGAAATAATGCACGGAAGGGCACCTGAGGTCTTCCCCCCTCCAGTAAAGCTGGAACGTCACGATATGACCTATACTGTGTCGATGTGACGTAAAACCCAAACAAAACAAAAAAAAACTATCTTTTATAAGGACAGATAATCCTAAAGTCATTTGTGCAAAGTTACATGTATTTCCCTTTTTATATGCCCGAAAGAATTTCGGGCATATTATGTTATACCCCCTGGCATCCGTCTGTCTGTCTATCTATCTATCTATCTGCACTCACAGGACAGTGTGGCTAGAGGGACAATAGGTAACTGTTCTTTCTCTTTGATGTCATTCATCCCGTAATTTGCTTTTATGTGGCTATTTTTTTTTGTGTGGCTAAAGAGAACAATAGAGAGAACAATAGCTAGAGTAGCCACATAATTACTGTCCTGTGAGAATGTCTGTCGGTCCGTCCGTCCGTCCGTTAGCATTTTGGTTTCCGGAGCATAACTTAAGTTCCATTTGGCCCACAATATTCAAACTTCATAGGAATATTGTCCATATTGGGTAGAAGACCCCTATTGATTTTGGGGTCAAAGGTCAAGGTCACTATCACCTTAAATCTGAAAACAGTTTCCGGAGCATAACTTAAGTTCCGTTTGGCCCACAGTGTTCAAACTTCATAGGATGATTGTCCATATTGGGTAGAAGACCCCTATTGATTTTGAAGTCACAAGGTCATTATTACTTTAAAACTGAAAACAGTTTCCGGAGCATAACTTTAGTTCCATGTGGCCCACAAAATTCAAACTTCATAGGATGATTGTCCATATTGGGTAGAAGACCCCTATGGATTTTGGTGTCACAAGGTCAAAGGTCAAGGTCACTATTACCTTAAAACTGAAAACAGTTTCCAGAGCATAACTTAAGTTCCATGTGGCCCACAATATTCAAACTTCATAGAATGATAGTCCATATTGGGTAGAAGACCCCTTTTGATTTTGGGGTCACAAGATCAAAGGTCAAGGTCACTATTACTTTAAAACTGAAAACAGTTTCCGGAGCATAACTTAAGGTCTATTTGGCCCACAATATTCAAACTTCATAGGATGATTGTCCATATTGGGTAGAAGACCCCTTTTGATTTTGGGGTCACAAGGTCAAAGGTCAAGGTCACTATTACTTTAAAACTGAAAAGAGTTTCCGGAGAATAACTTAAGGTCTATTTGGCCCACAATATTCAAACTTCATAGGATGATTGTTCATATTGGGTAGAATACCCCTATTGATTTTTTGGGTCACAAGGTCAAAGGTCAAGGTCACTATTACCTCAAAACTGACACAAGTTTCCAGAGCATAACTTAAGTTCCATTTGGCCCACAATATTCAAACTTTATAGGAGGATTGCTATTTGAAGGAGGTAATACTTTAATTTATGTTATGTCTTACAAGCTTCATCCTAATTAAAAAAAAAACACTTTCGGGCATATAATGCTCCGCCTAGCGGTGCTCTTGTTTACTTATTTTTTCTTCTTTTTAAGTCAATTTCTCAAAGCAGTCAAAGGTAACACTTCAAGCTTGAGACTCTTGTTACATTTTTTAACTGTCCAGAATGCATTTCTAAAGGGCAAGTAACTTTTTTCTTAGTTATGCCCCCTTTTTTACTTTGAATTTCTTTGTTATCTTTTTTGTTTTGGTACATTTCTCAAAAAGATATTCACTTTAAAGCAGCATGCCTCCAGAATCATGCTAATTTTCATGAAAATTTTGAAAATGTATATGTAATATTGTAAAGTAATCAAAAGGAAGCAATTTACACACTTTCAATGGCACTTACAAACCACATAAATTACCAAAAAGTGGTCATATGCATAAATAGTCTTTACTGCGTTAGTAACGCAGTAGAAATATAGTTGAAAGTACTGAAAAAATCAGTGATAAATCGCACATAATATGTAAAATATTTCTTGATTCTTGAAACTGTTTACTTTTCCTTACATCTTAGTACATTTTTCTCAAGTTTGATTTTATTGAAATATTTTGACTCATCTGGAGGCATGGAGTACTTGTTCTTAAACACTGCTTTCTTCCAAGGTGTATCAACTATCAAGTTTGAAGAAAATCTCAAAGTTTTTCAAATAAGTCTGATAAAGGGGAATTACTCTCAAAGTAGGCATGGTAGAGTTATTTGTTCTTGCATACAACACTACTAACAAATAAGGCCCCCACGATTACACGTTTAAACGGATTCGTTTCGATTTTCATTCGTAAACGTTTACGATAATTTTTACCGTTTAGTCGAAATTACCATATTGGCTTACAAAACTTCTTAATCATTGCCTATTGTCATGGATTTTATCAATTCTAGTGGTTATTTCCAAAGTAGAAAACGGAAAATGGGAGTTTACAACCCTCCACACAGCATTACCGTGCACAAATTTCTCCTGACATAATACATTTTTAGTAAAAATTGGGGATACAATGCAGAAAATGTGTGCTGACTCAATCGTGATTAGCCCTGAACATTCTTTATTTGTACATGTATTAAAAATAGAAAGTAAGTCATCATTTGGCGACTCAAATACATGGTGTATATAGTACATAGAGGTACCACCGTTTAAACGGTATCGTTTCGGTTCTTGGCAATCGTGTAAACGTTTACAAAAAAATTGTAAACGTGGGAGCCTTACTAACAAATACTTCAGGAGTTATGCCTTGGACAATTTTTCAAGTAAATCTGATAAAGGGGAAAACTCTGAAAGTAGGAAAGGAAGAGTTATTGTATTTACATTATGCACTTCATCACAATGTGCTCTGCCAGTGTAAAATGTTTGAAACAAAATCCCTCTAGTACTTTTGGAGTTCTGCTCCAGACAAACAATTGTTCTATTCTGCCTAAATTCTATAATAATATTTAGTGGTTTTATACCTAAATTGACAATAAGTTAAATTGTAAATAAATGTGCAATCTTGTGTTAAAATGTATAGTTTAATCTTTTATAAATAAGTAAAAAAATACATAAATAATACCTAATTAAATTTAACAATTTATTCATTACCATTATTTCATATAACTGGCGTATTTTAATTATTTGTAAACTATCAAAACAATTCGTCCTAAAATCTTTCAAACTCAATACCATCCGCACCAATATTCAACCCAATATCAATATCTTTCGCACGCTTAATTTCCTCAACTTCAGTAAACAATAATTAAATATAACTATATTATTGGGTATAAATAAAGCTGCAAACAATCAGTCTCTGTCCAGCTGCCAAAGTGTCAACACCACAAAAATAATAATTAATTACTTAAAGTCTTGCACTATTTACAAAGTATATCAATTGCATCAATTTAACATTGCGTTAGGTGTAATTGTTATTACTAAAGTACTAAAAACTAAATATCCAAGTGATTTTTCTGTATTTCAAATAGCCTAAAAGTGTCACCCCAATTTTATATCAAGTTCAAAAACCACTTATTATCTTTCAAGCACATTACTGTTATAATATTAGTTAATTAAACTTAATTCCAAAGTTTAAACAAATTATTGTATAATCATTTGTAACCAATCATTTGGCAAAGTAGCCATAAAAAATTACATATAACAGCTAGCCTGTGCACGTTACATAAGTTAATCGGGTAAAGGGGAATAACTCTAAAGTAGATAATGTGGAGTTATTGTTCTTGTACATTGCACTTCATTTCAATATGCTATGTCAGTTTATTTAATTAAAAAAAAATCCCCCAAGTCCTTTTGGGGTTATGCTGAACACAAAGTTTATCAAGTGAATCTGATAAAGGGGAATAACTCTGAAAGTAGCAAGATAAAGTAATTGTCCCTGCACACTGCAGTGTAGCCTGGGTTCCAGTCTGTCGTTTTTTTGTTAAGTTTCTGTTTATCAAAACGACGGACGAATACGGAATAGCGCATATGTTATGAATAAAAAAAATGTTATAAATAAGCAAAAACTATCAACGCCTGAATCTCAGGCTAACTGCAGTGCTTTATCAATGTATTAATTAAGTGTGTCAGAAGAACATCCCTCAATTTCTTTACAGTTTTTCAAATAAATCAATTAATGGGGAATTACTAAAAGTAAGTAAGACAGATCGAGTAATTGTACTTCCATACTCTACTTCCACCTAATGAGCTCTGTTGGTGTATGAAGTTTGGAATCGGGGTCTTTCAAATTTGAATTAAAGAACCTGTTGGAATGTAATATTTTCGGCTTCGAAAGATGAAAAAGTCGATCATTTTGCTCTGTGTTCGTTGCACGCATGGAGCTTTATCTGTAATATAAGTATCTGCTGCTCATTAGTAGTTGTCAGTATTGGAGACACAAAATAAAAGATACATTTGTGTGATGTTTTCTTACTCAATTTTATTACGTTCATTACGACCCCCCCCCCCCCCCCAAATAAATCAACGGTTTAATTCCGTAGATGATATTCTTTTTTTTTTGAATATTTGGGACGGAAGTTTGATGATCTGCAAAAAAAGATTAATGCGAATTCCAGCCCGCCAAAAATGCATTTCCTTATCGCCGTTTTTCACCGAGTCCAATCGTTCACTATGTTTCCCAGGCGGAGAACGCATGAAGAGATCAATTTTACAGGTGGAAAACCGATACTGTGGTAAGAAAGTTGTCTTCAATTTCTTTGAAAATGCATATTTCACAAAACTTTATAGCCAATTCTGATCTCGTATGATTACTTTATCCG